AGTCCCGTTTTTTCCGAGTTAAAATATTTTTCAAAATATGTAATTCATGAGATTTTGACAGATTACAGGTCAACAAATCAGTCACAACAGTTTGAATACAAGTGTTGTGCCAAAAAGCGATTTCCTGTATTTGCCAAATGATTGTGGTAATTTAAACTTTTGTAAATTACTTGTTTGCCTATAATGTGTCAAAAAAAATATGTCAAACTCAAAAAGTAATGAAATAATTAAAGAAAAAACCTCCAGTAGCTTTTTTTTTCTCTCATAAAGATGAGTCACAGTAAAAACAAATCAATTTATTTTACAGTAACCTGGGCAGTCTTAACATTTTGTATTATTTTATGTATTTTATTAGCTGATTAATTTCGCAGCCAATCATTTGGTCTGTAAATTGACAGAAAAAAACCCATGACAATGCTGAAACCACAATGAAATGGAAAAAGCAACAGTGAAATGCATCACTGCACTGTAGCAAAAACAGATTTAGCGACACACAAAAGAAGTCTCGTTATAGTCTGACACAGTGTTATGCTACATATTTTTGTCATGCTCCAGAGAATATGGACTACCTGCCAGAAAACAACTCCAGGTACAAAGACGTCGCCTACTGGGATGAAAGATACACGATGGAGCAGTGCTATGACTGGTTGGGGGGTTTCTCCAAATTCCAGCACATTCTGGAAAGATTTGTAAAGAAAGAGGACTCTATATTGATACTGGGTAGGTAGTTTTCTCTATTGTTTGTATTATTTTTTACTTTTAACGTGTCCATTTGTTCGTTATTACCTCAATATGGTGTACATAGAGAAAGAAAAATGCCACATGAAATTTTTTTGTGGGAAGCGGATCGATCGTCCTGGAGAATTAGAGGTCGGAAATCCTGATCTGAATGGCAGATCTGTGTCACATGTCGGGCCTCATCTCTCGCCCCCGCTTCTTGTCACCTCTCCGCTGTGTGCTGTCACATAGAGGGACAAATCCCTGCCAGCGTTTCTCATCAGGACTGTCGCATATCACCCTCACGGTTGTCATTACTGCCATTATAATCACTGTTATTAATTAAGTCCAGCCAGGCAGCTGTTTGCATAGAAATGGAAGCGACCTGAGTACTCTGACATGAAAAGTATTAATGCAGTTAACATGTGGCTGCATGAGAGCAAGAGAGTTTTTAAATCGGGTCCTTTACTTGGAGCTCAGTATTAACTGAAAATGGCCAATTTTCTTTAAACATCAACAACCATGATAAAACCCAGTACATCAGAAAACTGGCAAATCGTGCGGCGTCTGGGACATTTATTTTAGACAAAAAAAATCTCCAGTGTTTATAAAACGTTATATCATCACGCTGGTGTCTGTTACTGTGACTCATTTGTTATGTTGACAGAATCCTCGAAAACAATATAAACGAGCACAAACCTTCTTCTAATGGAGTAGATGATCTGATTTGATTTGCATACATTTGCATATTATTGTGCTGTGGTTCCTCACATTTACACCAAAATGTGAGAATCAAAAACGATCTAAATACACATGCTAAATGAGGATTTTCTTCCACCTGCCTTATGTCGTGTGGTGACGCAAAACCTCTGGGGTGTCCTGTGCTGTCCTCAACACCAATGCCAGCCTGTATTGCATTGTTACAGGAAATCACTATCATTCACTTAAGAGAGGGTTGGTTTTAATGTTGTGGCTGTTTGGTATATATATATATATACATATACATATATAATTCTACACCCAGCACGCCCCTGCGGGCGGTTTATCCTTCAAGCTCGGGTCCTCTACCAGAGGCCTGGGAGCTTGAGGGTTCTGCGCAGTATCTTAGCTGTTCCCAGGACTGCGCTCTTCTGGACAGAGATCTCCGA